AAATTTTGAAAACACCCGAGCATTTTTGTATCATCATATACGATCGAGTCATGGAATATTTACCTTTATCAGGACATGTTAGAACGCTAATTTAATCAGTTGCTGCAAGACATTGATACGATGAAGTTCGTTGTTATAGACGTACAAGGTTTCCCATCCCGAATTTGAGGTTAAGGAATTATCCATATACGATGGAAAAGAAATGAAAACCTATACGTTTAAACCGAAGATTTATTTACAACCATCTGCCGATACACCATAAGAAGACGATAAATTATATATTTCACAATGTTCATGGAATCCTTATAATTCAGGGTAGATTACCTATAAAGCGATGTATAACATAATACAGGGAATTGGAAAGGTGCTCGATATGGTTTTCGTTAAAGGATCTATTAAAAAGGAATTTCTGCTGCGCACATACAACGAAATGAATCTTGGTCCACCCTGTATAGTGAACTTGGAATTTACTTCTGGACCTGTGCCGAAATTAGAACAATCATACAGTAATAATTGTAATTATCATAGACTAGAAATATGTTCTTGTACTGTAAATAATGCTCATATATTATATGATTATATTATAAACCTTTTAACTCAATAAATTTAAATCTATTAATATCTAGTATTTTTTTTACTTATTAGCCTGTACATTATATATTAGCTCATTTTACTGTAAACCATTGTCTTGTTCACATCGCTCTCATCATATCGTTATGGATAAATCAAGTGTATTAGAACCAATAATTAATGTAGCATTAAACATTTCCGAGAACCTGGCAGAAAAGCAAATTATTTTCCAAAGTACAAACAAGGAGAAGAAGAAGATTCAAATGTCATATGAAGAAGGTTTTCAACGTTTCTGGACTTTGTTGATGAAAACGTTAATAGTGGTTGGTGTGATAAATCTATAAATTGATGGACATTTAAACACACTTATCATGCTTTGAAGAAGAAGTGAAAGTGCTGATAATTCAAGATAGGAAATGGAAAACTTATATTGATTGGGAGGATGATTGTATATTGTTATTTAAATACTGTTACCTATTTTTATAATTTACTAGATGAAGAGAGAAATGTGGAAAATAAATGCACAGTGAAATGAAAAAAAATTGTTTTATTTAGAATACTCTAAATATTTTTTTTTTTATAAAATCAGTCTTGTACAATATAAAAAGTTTGAAAAATGTTTTTCAGTACTATTTAAATACATGTGTAAAATAAATATATAATTGAAAAGCTTAAATCAAACAGTAGACATAGTATAAAACGTCTAATTTTTGTATACAATATAAATATGTTAAATATAGTAAGATAAAATATATTGAATATAATACTCTAAATAGAATACACTAAAAATACAAAAATAAAATTAACCCATCCTCTTAAACATGAAAGTAACTAAATCTTAATAAATAAATAAATAAAAAAATAAATAAAAAATCGAAGGAAAATAGAAGTAAAAAATAGCTGCCATTGGTTTCAGCCTATAGATTTTCCGATATTTCATCCCTATATTTTCCTAGATCTTTGTGGCCCCATGCGAGCGTGTACTCGGAATTGGGAATAAGAAATCTCTTATCGTCCGCGTAGGATAAGACTATCTTATTTTTTAGCTCTACATACATATTGTGTAAATGTGAACGGAAAGTATTCATCGTGCGATAGATTTTCGTACCTGCTACATCGACCGTGTTTTATAATCATCCAAACTAATATCTTGTTTTGGTGATGTAGTCAGGCACGCCTTTTGGCCTTTTTCGTTAACTCACCATCCACATTTACAATACGCTTTAGCCCCAGTTCCATAAAACTCCCACAAAATTTTCCTGCATATTCATCCTTCATACGGCCCAACACAGACGAATTTACAGGAATATCGTGTGGATTGTTTGCGAAGTAATTTGACGTATCGAATCTATCCAAATTTTCGCGCATGTCATCATAAAATTGTCGGTTTGAATTTGTAAAATTAGAGAATCGGTGTCAGTGTAGAGCAGTGAGCTTTATTACCGTACTTTGGTTTAATATAACTATACAAAAATCATATACATAATAGTTTGGAAATTTCCAAAATTGAAAAACCTACGTAAATAGGTTTATTATATACGATTTTCTGTTTAGCCATATGTATTGCGACTAAATTCTCGCTAAAAAATCGTCAAGTCTTTAAAATGCGGTTTTTGGAAATGTACGCTTCTGCCCCCTAGCTTTCTACCAATATTTTCCCAGTGGGTAACTAATTTAATATTTACCCGTTTCTCCACGTTCTCCATTGTCTTTCCAAATACAGCGTTATTCATAAGTTTGAAAAAATCTTTTTCAAACTTATTTTCAACGTTATTACGCTTTGCTGTATTTAGATCAATGTAGGTTTTTCAACCAGGAGATTGATTAAATGATAAAATGCGATGAATTTTGACAAGTTTCAGACCATGGTTCAACGCTTGTTGTAAATTTTGATAATGAATTACATATCTAACTTTAGAATTAAAATTGGGGATTAATTTTGGAAACTTTAGATCCCTCTGGTTTGAACGGACTCTGGCAAAAAGGGTAATTCGTTGTGTAAATCATGTAAATGCTCCGGATACTCTAAATCGACTTCAAAAACATAACCTATATTAAATTTTTATCAATATTCATAAAATTTAAGTTGGAAATTTCTTCTTCTGTTAGCCACGTAAAGAGTTACTGTTGGTAGATATTGCGACATGGCTGCATTCATATAAATTGGTAGCATCCAAGTACATGATGTAGGAAGTAGGTTTGGAAGCGTCGTATATAGACATAAATTTATTATTCGCGATAGCTTTTCTAACACTACATTGACTGACACCGCCGCGAATCCCGTGTTTAAGAAATGTATCATGTCTAAGATCTGTCAATAATTCCAGCTCGATAGATGTAGTTTTTAAAGCCGCGTCAAAGGACAGAGATGGTGCGGTGAAGTATTGACAAAGGATCTAGACATTATGTTTGTAGACACACCTCTCTAAATTCTCAAAAACATCAGTTAATAATAGTACGTCGGATTTTAAATATATATCTGAATATTCGCCTAAAGTTTGACATTTAAATAAATTCCATACGTTCAATGCACGCTCGTAATCTCCTTGTTTGATGGCTTCTTTTCTAAGCTCGTTATAGAAACCATCAATGGGTGGAAGCTTGGTATCGTCTAATTTGGAAAAGGAATCTACGTACGAATATGGGAAAACACCCTTCATACGAATAACCTTAAATTCTTCTTCGTTAGGGAAATACTTCCTAACCTCGCGACACTGCTGTGATGTTAAATTTTGACTTAACTTATCCAGGCTTGATGCCATAAAGCGGAAACTGTCCAAAAATCTTAATTTTAAAAATAACTTTTGTTGTCGCTTTTCCTGGTTATTGTCGTCATCCCCCACCATAATATATTTTGTAAAAGAAATATATTTTTCTTTGTTTTGGGGAATGACGTCCAATCGTTCTTCCTCCACAGCCAATTCTTTTATAAAAAGATGACTGTCAAAATTTGACATGTTGTGGAAGAACACAGGAATGAAATTAGGTACTTTAAAATTTAGATTACAAACAGAGTGAGCCGCACCTCGATATTTTCCTGTCAGATGACAGTGGTCCCTTACTCTGTCATCTTCCACATTAAACGGTCTTTCGCAAATATGACAATGCGTTATCTGATAAAACTCGGCTTCTTGTATGCTCCTGAGAGGAGACATGGATACAATATTTTTCATAAATCGATTGTAGATTGATTTACAATCAGTCCCTAACCAATCTATGAAAACTTTATGTGCATCAGGTCCTCTAAAAGTCTTGAAAATCGACTGAGAATTATCAAAATCGCATTTAATGTAATAGGCAAAAGAATAAGGAACGTGTTGGTGTGTTTTTTCACCGTATAGGAAATTTCAGGATCCAGCTCGTTTTGCTCTGTTTGTATATGTTCCAAAATAGTTTCAAAATCAGCGTATACAACAAAAGGTACTTTTAATTTTCGTTCGAAATTCGTAAATTTAAGGATATTCTCGGGAATGTTTTCACCATATTTATTTTTCTTTAAATTAACCGAAGGAGTTTCAACTACAACATGACCACAATCGTATTTTTGAGTTTTTCTAATTTAATATCTGAAGAAAAAATAAACCAAGCAACCATCACACAAGTATTTAGCAACTTTTTAGCAGAAAGCTGCTGTGAGATTAGGCGAGACATATTTCTTATTAAACAATAATGATTATTGCCAGAATCATCACTGATTAATAACAAATTCACATGTCTATCTGCCTTATGAGATCTAGTAAAATACAAAGGACCAACAACTTCAATAATATTCCTATCATGTTTATAACCCTTCTCGAGTCCATAAACATTAATAGAAATATTATTGAGTTGTTCGAATTTTGAAATTTGTTTTAAGGATATCGGAAAATCTATACCTGACACATCCAATTCCTGCTCGAAAGATTGATAATTCTGGACTCGGTTGGCGTTCTGAGTCCAATGAACTGGGTGAAAGGCGGCTAAAACCGACCATACAAAACATTTCTGGTCAGTGTTTTGTATGTTCAACACAACCCTTTTCAGCTTCTATTTCCTTCGGTAATGGTATATAAGATGAGGCTTTTAGTGGGTTGATTTTATTTACCCTTACATCTACGTGAAGGAGTTGCTGAAGAGTCCAACCTAATGTACACGAAAAATAATTAGTATGGTGAAATCAGAAAAAATTATATACTTACCACTATCTTTTTCATTGAACTCCTGGAATCTCCGCTTAATGATAGTGGTGAACTGATCAAACAACTCCTCCAAATCGGTGCCCTGACTTGCTCCCCTGAACCTAGAGCCAAAGGACTTGGTTTCCTCTACCTCCTTTGTCTGCAGGGAGGAAACGACCGAAAAGCTCCATACCGACTTTTCACATTGCCAAATCTTTCGATTTGGCACCTTATCAACGCAATAATTTTTTCGCGGAGATTAGCTAAAAATCATTAACGCTGATAGGATCTTTTTTTCGATAAAAGTCGGTATGTAGCAATTCGGTTTTTGTAAGAGGCATTAACTAAGTAAACACCTTCCTCCTGCATTACCAAGTGTTCTAAAAAAAATATACGTTTTAATTTAAAAGGTGTATAAAAAATAATAATAACTTACCGTTATTGAAACCAAGTCTAGCTCTCTTTGGCACCGAAGACTCTGGCTCTACCTGATTGACTAAAAAGAAAAAAAAAAATATTTAATATAAAATAGATGCTTTCTGTTAAAAATAATAGAAATATATGCTAAATAGTTAATTAGTTTTAAATAATTGAAAAAGTTAAAAATAATAGTTGAATATGTTAAAAAATAATTAAATAGTTAATTAATTTAAAAATAATGGAAAAAGTTAAAAAATAATAGAAAAATATGTTAAAAAAAATAATTAAATAGTTAATTAATTTAAAAGTAATGAAAAACAAATAATTACTTACTGTTAGTGGCAGAGCTTGTTCTTTTCAGGGAGGTCTTCTCTAAATTTTTTGGTTCAGGCTGATTGACTAAAATAGAAAAACCATTTAATATAAAATAAAAAATAAAATAAAAACTCACCATTAGGGGCTCCTTTACAAATCTTCATATGCCTGCCTAAACTATCACTTCTGCTAAAGGATTTCAAACATTTTTGGCACATATCTAAAATAAAAAAGCATTTTTTAAAGCCAGAACATAAAATAAAAATATTTACTTACGTTTACTAAGGCTAGCACCCTCGTCCACGCTGGTTTGGGGCGTGGCAGTTTGGATTTCATTGGCTAAAAAAATAGAAAAAACATTTAATATTGCACAATATAAAAAATAAAATAAAAAACTCACCATTACAAGTCTTCGCATGTCTTGTCAAATTCCTTTTATAGGAAAACAATTCCCCACAAGTGCTGCACAGAAACATTTTTTTTTTATTTTTCACAGTGAAACGACTAATTTCGACGAGAGGCAAGTAGAGACTGACGTGAATTGCGAGTTGTTTGCTGGGTACAATGCTAGGCCGGAAACGGAAACGGAAACCGCAATCTAGAAAAACAAACGCGTGATATCATAGTCGTCATACCGGAAGCTGCAAAGTCCGATTAAAAATAATACCGACCGCAAACTCCGATAAGGAATAAATGTTGCACAATGTATTTTTCACCAAGTTTGATTTATTTTATTTTACTTAAATATTATCACAATGATTCATCTTCTAGAAAAACAAAAGCATGACATCATGAGAGTGAAGCCGTAAAGATTGAAGTATTAGATCATTTTACTGTAAACCATTGTCTTGTTGCATCGCTCATCATATCGTTATGGATAAATCAAGTTTGATTTATTTTTTACCGTTTAAGTAAATATTATTATTATTTATGAATACCCAAAAGGCATTATTAATTAAAACTCAATCGTCAAACGTTAAAATTATCATCTGTGTTAAAACATGGAAAGATTTTTTTTTTGGAATATATACCGGGTGTGAAAAAACAATCTATGATGTAAAGCGTTTGTTTTTCATTAACACCTTGTATATAATAGGTATGACGTAAGACAGGTTTGACGTTTGACATTTGACAGATGACGTAAGACAGGTTTGACATATGACGTTTGACGTTTGACAGATGACATTTGACAGATGACGTTTGACAGATGACGTTTGACAGGGGCCCCTCCTCCTCGCGCTTGCGCTGTACCCCTCCTCCTCGCGATTTGACGTTTGACGTTTGACGTTTGACAGATGACGTAAGACAGGTTTGACGTTTGACATATGACGTTTGACAGATGACGTAAGACAAGTTTGACGTTTGACATATGACGTTTGACGTTTGACAGATGACAAGTTTGACGTTTGACGTTTGACATATGACGTTTGACATTTGACAGCTCCCCTCCTCCTCGCGCCTGCGCTGTACCCCCACTCCTCGCGCATGCGCTGTACCCCCACTCCTCGCGCATGCGCCGTGCGCTCTGCTCCACTGCTCCACTGATGGTGAAACCCCCTTCTACCTCTACTTGCTCCCAGGACATAATATTATTTTGTTTTAGATGACAATTGAGTTTATGGCATAAAATAGATGTTAAAATTTTATATGCAGATGGAAGGCATGTTATCGGCCTATAGTTATTTGGCTTGGCTAAATCACCTTTCTTAGGCAACATATGTGTTTCCCCCTGCGTGAAGTATATGGGTATGCTGTTTGGGTCTCTCATAGCATTTTTGAATAAGGCGTGCGAGTGGTTCGTGTGAATTTGATAACGCCTTCCACCAGTAATTGTGGATCCCGTCCATTCCGGCGCTGTCCAGTTTTTCATCCGTTTACTGTGGCTTGCGTCGTCTTTCGATACTGTGATGTTGGGCATCTCCGTGTATTTTCCGAATTCTCCTTTTCGATGTTAATCCACTGTGCTTTCCGATCGTGTTGGATGTTTTCAGCCCAAATTTCTGACCAGAATTCTGTCATCTCAGTCTCTTTTGGGGAGTTCATGTTGTTCATCAGTGATTTCGGCCTCAAGATTTCGGAAGAACAGTCTTTGATTATTGTTGAAGAGTGTGTTTTGTTTACATCTTAGTGTTCTTTTATGGTATCTTTTCAGTCTTTTTCCAAGAGCAGCTATTTTTGTTTTAGAGTCTCCGCTCTTTGTATCAATGTTTGCTCCAGTAAAAGGGTCCCTGGTTTCACCTTAAGTTTACGCGCGCACGTTTTAATTTTCTTAACAAGTTTTCGGCTAGGTTGTTGGGTACTGAGATAACTATGAATTATTCCTATTTCCTTTCGGTAGTTCGATATTTTTTGTTTCCAACCGTTTTTTTTCCATGGGGGGCTCTGGGGTTCTCCTCCAGGCAATTATATTTATCCTGCTTCCAGAATTTTACAGGTTAGTGTAGCTGCGCAGTAAACTTTATGACAGAGATTCTCAAGGCTGTCCGCTTCATTAAAATATTTTTCTAGAGCAGTATTAATTGAGGTGATGGTGGTTTTACATTCAGCATTCATTTTGAGTCTTGGTATTTTTGGCCTTGTACCCATCGGTATCCCTTCATAGTTTTGATTGGCTTCCTGAAACATGAGCAATATACTCTCCTGTTCTTCTATTCGCTGTATATCTTCTTCTGATGGTGCGTAGGTAAACACCTACGCACCATCAGAAGAAGATATACAGCGAATAGAAGAACAGTAGAGAACAGAACAGAGTTTAATGAGTGCAATCTAGGGTTAAAAGTTCCTGAAAGTCTTGGTGTTCTTGTGTTTATAGATTTTCTGTTAGGGCTTGTTTTAGCTTCAGATTTCATAGTATTTAGCTCGTCTGTTGATATTAGTTTTCGTGCCTTGATGTTGGATATTTGCGCGGCTAAATGCTGAGAGCTAAATTGCTTATTAGGGTAAGTTGTATTCCATATTTCCTGCAGTTTGGATGTGTACTTGGATTTTTGTCTCTCCACCTCAGTGACGTGGAAGTAAGCATTCATCAGAGCAAGGTTCATCTCTCTAGTCCAATGCTGCCTTCCTCCTCTGCAAGAAATGGCGGGACTGCCTTGGAAGACGTGCGTCGGCTGGTCCAAACTACTTCTTTGGGTGTCCTGATTGGAGGTGCTAGGCCTTGTGGTTCCGTTTCGCAAGGACGTGCCACTCGCTTCACGTTCCTGTGCTAGGGACTGTACCAGTCTTCCCCAGATGCAATCCCAACATCGGGGGCGGGTTCCCAAGGCTTCGTTTTTCTTTATCGAGAGCAAAGAAAGGATCTCAACGTGTGGATTGCTAGTCCACATGTCGGCTTGCTGGGATCTGCGGGGTGCGCTTGAGGCCTAATAGCCTCCTGCAGGCGTAGCTGGCTGTACAGGTCTTACGTCGTTACCTGTAGCGCAGAAGACACTGCTGGCAACAGTGCCTATTCGGCCAGACCGGTAGGAGGGAGGAGGGAGAGTAGGAATCTTTGGTAGGATTAAAGGTTAGGACATGACTTCTCTCTGAAAAAGGAGTGTGAGAGCAAATCAAGGCTCGCGTGGGCAGGAACGCATTCCTGAAGTAGGTCTAACCCACCACCGGGATCGTAGGAGTGTACCTACCCGCTACCCCCACATTCCTGGCTGATGGAGATTTTGAAAATCTATAAAATTAATAAAATTAATGAGCAAACCATATATATATATATATATATATATATATATAGTATATATATATATATATATATATATATATATATATATATATATATATATATATATATATATATATATATATATATATATATATATATATATATATATATATATATATATGTAATAATAATATGTATGTATATGTAATAATATAATATGTATGTATAATATGTAATATATATGTAATAATATATATATATGTATATATATATAACGGTGGAGGATTGGTCTTAAGAAGTGACATAATATAATATGTATGTAATATGTATATATATAATATAATATGTATATATGTATAATATAATAATAATATATATGTAATATATATATATATGTATATATAATATATAATAATAATATGTATAATAATATGTATGTATATGTGATTGGAGGATTGGTCTTGGCCGTGACATTATATATATATATATATATATATATATATATATATATATATAATAATAATATGTATATGTAACAATAACAACAATAATAATAATAATATATATATATATATATGTATATATATATATATATATATATATATATATATATATATATATATATATATATATATATATATATATATATATATAGCATAGCAGTGGAAGGGTAGTCTTAGCCGTAACGCCTACGCTAGTGCAGTAGCGTTATAGAAGTATATATATATATATATATATATCCCCCCCGGGTATCTCCACCTTCTCGTCAAAAGTCTCCGTCTATCTCCGTCTTCTATCCAAAAATATATTGTAAATTGGTTTAAGTTTTTTAGTAGTTTACAAATATTCATAGCAGTCGACCATACAGCGTCCAATCCCAAGCATTCGAATTAAGAAACTCATGCTTAGATATGTCTTCTTTAATACCTTGTTTAAGATCTAAATAATCAGGTGACTTTTCTAGATCTAAGTTTTATATTTTTTTTATGTAGCTTGCAGTAACATCCAAAAATATATGGCAAATTGGTTTAAGTTTTTTAGTAGTTTACAAATATTCACAATGTCCCCATTTTGTTGGCAATAAAAAACATTTTCATGGAATATCCACATATGTATGTAGTATTTTCAACTTACAGCGTCAAATCTCAAGCATTCGAATTAAGAAACTCATGCTTAGATATGTCTTCTTTAATACCTTGCTGAAGATCTAAATAATCAGGTGATAAAAATATATTTTAATAGCCTTTTCTCCTGCATATAAAGCCTAAACATATTTTTAATGCTTTCAATGCAAATTAAAAAACCTAGAAAACCTGTTTTTCTGGGCGATTGTAAAACAGGAACGCCTCTAAGTTTTATATTTTTTATGTCGCTTGCAGCATCATCCAAAAATATATTGTAAATTGGTTTAAGTTTTTTAGTAGTTTACAAATATTCACAATGTCTCTATTTAGTTTGCAGTAAAAAAATGTTCATGGAATATCCACATATGTATGTAATATTTTCAACATACAGCGTCCAATCCCAAGCATTCGAATTAAGAAACTCATGCTTAGATATGTCTTCTTTAATACCTTGTTGAAGATCTAAATAATCAGGTGACTTTTCTAGATCTAGATTATTTTCTCCTATTGTTAATACATTAGAAGATGAAAAAATTGGTACTAACCCTAAATTTATTGCATTCCCCTTCTCACCAGCAAATACATTTGTTTATAGTAATAACCGTTTATATGCAGCTTTAAACTGCCTCGGTGTAGGATTAGTTTTCAAACCTCCTCCACTTCTAATGCATCCAAAAATAAACTCTAAACGATCTTGTGATAATTTGTATGTTAAAACATATTTTAATAGCTTTTTCCCCTGCACATAAAACCTAAAAATATTTTTAATGCTTTCAATGCAAATTAAAAAACCAAGAAAACCTGGTTTTCTGGGCGATTGTAAAACAGAAACGCCTCTAAGTTTTATATTTTTTTTATGTAGCTTGCAGCAACATCCAAAAATATATGGCAAATTGGTTTAAGTTTTTTAGTAGTTTACAAATATTCACAATGTCCCCATTTTGTTTGCAATAAAAAAAAT